CACTCATACATATAGGAATACATTCTTTAGGCTTTATTAGTAAATTGTGGTCATTGTATTTTGTACTTGCTTTGTTTCCATAAGAATCGTGTGCTTAGAGGTCATTTATCAATTTGAAACGAAGTCATATTCAGTAATGATGCAGAGTGATCTACATGCAACACAAGACGACAATTAGGAGTGTTTGGCCAAAGAGGAGCCTCTTAGAAAGTATATCTCGAAAACTTCATGGAGAATTATAGCCTTGTGCTCCATCATGATACATTCCTTACATCTACACAGTACTGTAGCTCTAAGTATAAACAAAAAAAAATTTAGTGTTGACATTATATGACTAGAAAGTGAGAAGTACATACACCTCACAATTATAGTCTTCAAAATATTTTCAATGGACCTATCAGTAACCACAATCTGCAAAGCTTATGTCTGCTTTTGCTGAATATCGGATATGGAGCTTTGGTTGATTGCAAGACCTTCTATCTGTTCAGTCTGCAATGCATGCATACATTCATGTAGCATTATCACTTTGATAATGATTGATCTAGCCATCTATCTACTTTGCTCACTCGCAAGTCGGAAAGTTGTTAAATGCACACTTTGTTGTACCCTTGGCGGTTAGAGAAAAGTCAGAAAGGGATTTTTCAGAGATAAACACAAAAGCATTAGGTTGAAAGTGTGGAACTTCGTTTGAAAACATGATATGCATTGACAACATGCGTAATTGTGCAATCGATCTTACATGACATATAAGAAGAGATATTTCAAATGGCAGGAGTGAAGAATATTTTCCGGAGTGAATTATTCTCATAAATTTTCACATTTCAGAAAAGTTCCTAGATCTACTTATAGCATGCAAAAAATATATTATCCTTTGACTACGGGTAGGTTATTTTGTTTCAGCTATTATTCTTCTTCAAGAAGGCATACTCTACTTGTTTGAACCGCTTTGCCTAATGAACTTAGGTGTTTCTACAAGTTTCTAGACCGATCTGCACCCATAGATAATCATGAACACCTAATGCCATTGTCAGGTTTGAATAGATTGCAATAAAACGTGCAAATCTAATCTTCGTGCAATAAAATGTATCGCCATCATCACTACCTATGAACATGGAGAATCATAATATGGGCTCAGTAGATACTCTAAATACTACACATGCTAGATATCAATATATCTTGAAAGTTTTCTCTTTGAACTCCGCTAGCACTCGTGGCATCTAAAGATAGAACTTCCATGAGGAAAAATCACCGCTCGAGCACTCCACACAGAACTTGCCCCCGATTGATTTCAACAAAATATCTGAAGGAAAAGTTGACACGATTTGAGGAAAGCGTCTTGTTTTTTAAGGTCCAAAATTTACTTGCAAATCTTAATCTTATTCTATTTTGCACCACTCCCAAACGTGAACAAAATCGGGATTACAAACCTTTAGGGTTTGCATCTTTTAAAACTAATCATGCTATCCATTCTGGTCGTTCTCATCGTAGCCGTCATTCGTAAAAGACATCATCGTCAAATATGCAATCACACCGTTTAAAAGTGAGTGGTATAACTCCCCTCTTGATATTAGATAATAGAAAATACAACCCATCACTGACCTAACCTTTGGCACGGTTCAAAAATATCTGTTGGACGCATTTATCAGATTTGTATTCACAGTCCATATTCAAGTGCATTCTGAATCTCAAATACTCTACGTGCATCATTACCACATTTCATGTTCAAAAATCGCTTCGCTGAAGATGTTATTGACCATAATATAATGTCTTCTTCGACTCATTCTGCTGGTCTAGGAAATGGGGGTAGATTTTTCTTTATTATTTTCAATGAGGGCACATTGAAGAAAGATGTTGGACTATGAAGACGCGTTGGATGTGGTCTGTCAATTTTCATCCGAGTTCTGATCCTTCCGATTTTTATACCAAATTGAGAGTTTGTTCGGTTTTCTCTCATAACCACTCGCTGCTGTAGAATTTTTTCGATGGCATATACAAACGCTTCACACTTATTGTTAGTTAAGCATGTCAGAAAACTTGAGTGATCCAAGGTTATGCACTGCGATTATACACAAGTTTATCCTTAATTGGGAAGATATATCTAAAACCAAACGATATTTGACGCATTCACAGTAAAGATTATAATTCACTTTTGATTGATAATCTTGACCAAAAAAATACATTATTCATTTTCAATTGCCTTAGTTTGTTCAAAATCCCGTACATATGTTGATTGTTAGTACAGAGTTGCATCTCACAATATATGTACTTTCTCAAAATTTACTTACTTCTCTTCTGTGATTCAACGAGATTTGAACTTTACCACCCTCCATCCATATGTATAGATGGTTAATCAAAGTTTTAAAATTGCAGCTGAAGGATTGAGATCGTCTCCCTGCTCAGTGCATATTTCAGCATGCTTCATGTTACATGAAGCATGCTGAAATATGATTCATAATTGTATTTTATCTTTGACTAAATAGAATGTAAAACTGTCTGACATTAACTGTAGTAGCAAAATTATCTTGCTAATCTTGAAGTATTATATGTATCAGCTTATGTTATGACTATATCTCGCAACTACTTGTTGAAAATTTACACATTTGATTGATGACACTTCCTAATTGTAGTATATGAAATATAATCCGGAAAACTTGAGCTCAAAACAAACAAAAATTAAACTTTCAACATACTTTTCCGAGGATCTGGTTCAAGTGGAGGATTTAAAACTCTAGATTTATAAATGAGTGATCCCAGCCAATCTGATATTCAAGTTTTATCCTTAACAATTTGTGGATCACACGAGCCATTTGATTTACACAGACATTTAATTATGAAAATTCAAAGCTGAGGGAAAGTTGAGCTTATTAAACTTGAATATAATAACCCAGTAATACTTAAATTTTTAAATTGTTTTTTTTGGGGAAAAAAATTCTCATTTACGTATCTTAAAACTTATATCAACACAATTTCACAAGTTTAAGGTTTAGATTTAGTTAACTATCTATTATCGATATCAAGGAAAAATCTCTATAATGTAAAAGCAGTCAATAAAGGATATTTAATCTATGTATAAGTTTTTAGATTTATTACAATGTTTCATAAAGGAGAAATTATTTCAAATTAATACTGATATTATTTTATATTGTTTAAGAAATTTTTAATGCAATTTCTATGCAATTTGATTTAGGCGATTACTTCGTCTCAATTTTTCTATCAAATCATTTTTATTCCAAATTTTCATTAATATTATTTCATCAAAAGGAATGGTTCAAATTAGAACAAATCTGCATTTTCATCTAAATTCTTTTCAGATTCCTAAACTCTAAGTACCAACTTAATCAGTAGCAAAATCTTGAATGATATTTACTTTTGAGATGAATTTAAAAATGTTCAAGTAAAAGCGAAAACTTAATTTTATATTAAAAGGCTTTTCAGAAATTTAGCAATTAATATTTAGGGCTAACAAAGGGTTAATGATTAAAACAATACATGTATTTTTTATGTGATTCCATGTTCAGATGTTAATCAGATTTGAAGATGATCAGAATCATATAATATCAGAATAGACGGTTATATAATATGATGATAGCTGCTCTCAATCAATCTAGATCTACTGACATCACTTTATGGAACATCCTTTTGCAGGTGGAAAAAGCTCTCTTTGTTGCTTGAGTTTTACACATAGACCTCAATTAGTGGGAAGGGAAAGGTGGATTCGTACGAAGAAGCCAATAAAAATCAAAGACAAACTATTCAAAAAGAATTCAACATAATCTGACTCTTCATTGCGTACAATACTTGTATCAATATCGCGCAGCAGTTTCATACCTGAAGAAGTTACCTCGAACGACTGGTCTGAATGACTCGATTATAATGTCATCAATGGCCTAAAATCCCCAATTATGGAAGGACAGTTGCGGCTGCCTTAACAATTACAATCCTTTCATTGAGATTTGGTGATAATCATTTTTCCAGTCTGTATACTGGTGTTTGTCTGTGTATATATGCCCACCTTTCTAGATACAGGGGAAAACAATATGGACAATCAAACCCCACATACACTAGGCGTGTTGCATGGACAGCTGAAGGAATTCTCTCTCAGGTCTGGTACGCAGGATACTGTGAAAATCCAGCCAGCTGTACAAAAGAATCTAAGAGGGTTTTAATAAGTTTGACATTTGAACTGAACAAAGAAACAAAGAGCCATTAGGCACTGACTACAAACAGAAATGTACTAGTTGGTACATCAGATGCAAAATTTGCAAGAATTCGTTATGATCAGTCTTAAAATTTTGTTAGACATCATCATGACCCAGAAGCAGACAGCAGGCTGAAAATGCACAAAAATGCATCTCAATGAACGTTGATACTGCAACGGAAAGTGAAGAATTTTCTTGCGAAAGCTGAATTTTACATGTTCAGGTCTATCCTTGATCTTCCAGTTGGTACTGCATATTCACGATGACTTTCGTTATTCACAGAATATCTTTACACAGAAGCCACGGGCATTTCAACATACTGAGCTTTAATTTGCAGTGAGTTAGATCACCACCTGCAGGTTGGCAAGAGCCTGAGCGACGTGATTGATGTACAGTTGACCCAAGGTAGCTTAGATAATCGACTAGGATGTACACAGAGCTGTACTAATTTTCAGACCTCCAATTTGGTCCCAATGAGAGAAATAAATTGTTCAGGATATCTGTCTTTTGGAAACTCTTTTGGCTTATGAAAATTGTACCTCAGCCGATATCACCACATAGAGGCACATAAGAACGATATGATAGAGAAAAAGCATTCCTTTGAACTGCAAGTGTATCGACGAACCAATAAACCGGAACGCAGACAACTCTATCTCCACAATGCAGACAACAACTGAACTAGATCAGATCGAGAAGACATAGCTAAATCAGGCGAAGTTCAAACAATTGCAACTAAAATATCCAAGGAAAAAAGGAAGAAGGATGTCCACAGCGGCTTCTCAAAACGAATTGGACCCAGATGCAATGCAAAACACAACTGGTGTACAAACTTTGAATTCAGGGGTAGCACAATGTTGAGAGCATCGGGGCTGCTAAGCTCCTGTCCTACTGACAAGAAAACAAGCTATAGAGCAACCACGAGTCTATACCTAGATTACAATGTCCGAATTTGCTATCCTACTGACTGATCTATGTTTTCCCAATCTCAAAAACGGTGTTGAGTACATGTGATGGCTGCTTAGACAGACCAAATTCACACGCAAGTTTGTATGTCTTTGTACAATGAAATACAACGGGACTCTCATTCAGTGGGCTTAAGTCTGGAGGTCAAAGTTTGTATGTACATCTGACCACGGTTGACAATACCAAATTAAAAAAAGTCATTGCCGATGTCCCTCAGGTAGTGTAACAACGTGATAAAATGGTACTTGCCGTTTCGGGAGTCCGTCCATCCCTTCTTCTTCATCTCCGTCGAATTCCAGCAAGTAGTCCTCATTTCTTCGTTTCCTGTTGGGGCCGACAACAGACGCTTTGTAGAGAGCAGTCGTGCCAGGGTAAAGTGCCAAGACGTTTGAACCAGGGGGAAAGTCCGTGACGTTGCTTGCATCTGAGCGCTTGGGGAAGGGTATAATGCAAGTGTGAGACAACTTGTACGCCCTCTGACCACTCTCGCCATCGTCGTCTGGTTCTTCGTCGATGACTTCAAATTCATTTGTTACCCTGTCGATCCCAGTAACTTTTACTACAATCCACTCGTGGTTTTCAGCTTCATCGGCCGTGACTCTGGCTGCCACTTGATCGCCGACAGAAACGCTCAAATGTGCAGCAGGTGTACGAGGAAGTGCAGGGGACGATAATCTTGGCAAGTCTGTCTCGGTCTTAATTCGCTTGCGCTTCTGCTCATTAGAAGCCTCAGATTTCTTGCGGTGTGGAGGTGCCTGTCCAGGAGCGATCAAAGCTTCTATTTCGGTGATGCTGTTTCCAATGAGGGACTCTTCCTCGTCAGCTAAATTTTTAGCCTGTACGTAAAACCCCCGGAGTTGGAACCACAGCTTCTCGCCATACTTCTCTGCTTTTTCTGGGGGAGTTTGAGACAGTTTGGAGTGAATTTTATTGATTTTCCGAATTACGAGATCCTGTTCCTTTCTCAGTCGCTCCATTTCCTTCAATCGCTGATTGGCTCCCTCGAATGCTGCCATGCTTTTGGAAACACAAGACGGGATCGTCGAAAGTGCAACGTGGAGAAGGGGACTGCCCATCAATTCCCGATATGCACCTCGCTCCTAAACTCTACTGTTCCCACAGTAGCTCCACGGAACGCCTAAAAACCTCCATCGTCGGCCGCGGTACGTCCCATGGAAGGGAGGCTCTGGTTCCCACCTGCGTACTTTCAAATTTCACAAACAAGTCACGCCGCGACACCATCTCCAGCGAGCGCGACCCCAATACAATCCCATTCATGTCCTGACCGGCCAATTCCGCCTCCTCTGCCACATTCCTCGAAAGCTACAACTCCTCCTCCGCCACCTCCACCTCCACCTCCACTCCCACAATTGCACTCGGACGATGCAAAGGCAGCGGCAGCAACAGCAACAAGTCCGACGCGCTCATCTCGCACGACCAGGGTGTCGCATTCTCCTCGACAACGATACACAGCTTATCTCGCTCCCGAAAACTCATAAGTAGCATGACACTCGCGGTCTAGCTCTGCCTCGGAAGCTGCCACAGAGAAAAGACACGACACCTCCCTCGCTCGGAAGCCTCCAAAAGTAGACAGAAGTTCCCCTCCTCTCACCGCCCTCCACCCCTCCCCTCTCTCTCTCTCTCTCTCTCTCTCTCTTCCACCTCCTCCTCTCTCTCACCGCCCACTTCACTGTCTCCCCTTTTTTCTTCTTACACCCACTGTGTCACAGACGAGTCGGCAAATCCCACCACACCAAGAATCTCACGGTCAGTCCACTCCCTCGGCTCACTCCCCTCCCCTCCCCTCCCGACTCCCCCCCTCGCCTCGCGAACAAAGAAGCGGCAGAGAAAAGCAGAGTCTCCTCCGCAGCTCTCTCTCCTCGCCCGCTCAAAAAAGCTGCTGCTGGCGCCCTCGCTGCGTCTTCTTCTGCTGGCTCCTTGTTCTTGTTTCTGCAAATGGCTACTCAACCGTCTCTCGGCCCCGCCTAATCCCCTGGAGGCGCTCGCTCGCTCGCTCCCTCCCTCCCTCCCTCCGCCCGCTAGCCAGAGCCAAAACGGGGGACCCTGCCTAAAGTCCTGCAACAGCAAAGTACAAACCTCTGTCTGCTCTCTCTGCGCTTCTGCTTCTGCGGCTTCTGCTTCTTCTACTACTGCCGATTCGTGTCCTCGGCTTCGGACTTGTCGCCGATGCTGCCAAGCCTCTGCCAAAACCGCCTCCAAATGCTGCCAGCCCAGTTGACAACAATGACGCCGACGACGACGCCGACCGCGACCGCCACATCAAATCGCGCCCTTCGGAATCCGCATTTCTCCGCCCCTCTGCAAACTCTGCAGACGCCGACCGGAGCTGCTCCCAACATTCCTCTTTTGCGCGCAGAATCAAAACCCTAAGACCCGGGGCTCCTCCGGCCGCCGCGACCGGAGGAGTATCGCCGACTCGTTGGCCAACACGTGTCCACTGTGCGGTCGCGTGAACCCTGGAGTCGCGCGAGCTTCTCCCGGTGAGCGAATGGGGTGGCCTTGGGGAGCGCGACTCGCGACATCCGCGACTCTACTTTCGAGTCGTCGCTGAGACTCCGGGTGGACTAACCCTAAAGAGGACTTTAGGGTACACTCCGGTTTGCCTGCGACAACTCAGATGTTCCCGTTCTGGTGCCCTCGTCGCCTGCCCTGGCCCGGCTCAAAATACTCTTCGCCGATGGTCATCGGACGACTTAAATGTGCTCCCTCTGAGAATCTCAGATGACGAGGGAATCTTCTTATAGTACGAAGGCTAATTTTGGCTGCGCGATTTGAACCGCCTCTGCTGCCATGGCTGAAAATAATCCTCCCATCGGACAGTCTCTGCTTGCTGTCTGCACGACGCCAACGGTTTGGATGGGACTGCTCTTGTCGTTTTTGGACCGCGGAGGTGGAACTAACTGACTGTCACGTCCACACTGGCATTGTCGCCTGACGTGGAACACACTATCTACAGATGCTTATGTGGCACGCCGTGATTTGCTCATTTTCCGAAAACCAGCGCATTTCGGTTCCGACGAGAGGAGGAGCGATTGGAGGTACGGACTCATGTGAAAACGAGTGGGGACTAGCACCGCATTTGCGATGCTTTGATTGCACGCTCGATTCCGTCGACGCGAGAGATTGACGGATCCGATCGAAACTCGTTACTGCGTACATTCCCGCATCCCACTGTATCCGGCTAATCCACGCGTGATTTGCCGCGTGGAGAGGATTTCGTGGGAGTTAGAGGATTGGCGCACACATTGCGATCTAGATCGTTCAAGTCAAAGATCGGACGCTTTGACGACCAAGATCCGTAACCACGGGTTTAAGTGCTACGTGAGTGGGTTGAAACAGTGCACTCGACTAACCCTTTCCTCGTGGAAAGTGGAGCACCGCCTTACAACATCCCAGATTGTCGGACGCAAAGGATAACCTGAAAAGGCCTCCGTACTTTCTGTAAATCGCTGTTATGATGTTCTATGCAGAGCCAACAAGGGGATTCAAGTTTCCTTTTCAGACCTCGGGATTTTCAACTCAACTCCAAGATTTCATAATCACTCATTTCAATCCATACAGATATCGTCTTCTCCTTCTGTGGTAAAATTGTCAAATTGTGGTCAATAACCCTTTTCCTTGCACTCTTGGTAACTTTTAAATATAGATATAAAATTCTCATTAATTGTACAACAAATAATACCGGAAAGCTCATTCAACGTTTCAGTTATTGTGTTGTCAACACTTTTCTTTTCTTTTTTGAAGGAGTGGGTCCACCGATATATAAACTAGTGTCCAGTTAAACAAATAGAAAAAAAAAAAATTATGTTATTTTCAGTTAGCGACATTAGCATATTTTTATTTAATTTTCTCAAAACATCGTGTATCATGATTACTTTGAAGTCATTTGAAACTTACTAACTTCTTTTCGCTATGATATTTATAAAGATTCTGAAAGTGCATTTTATCTGTTATATATATATATATATATAGGCTGTGGATTTTCACAATCATTGCGTGAACATATAATCCATGGTTGTACAAATCTTATCACATCGCATCTATGAAACATGAACTATACGGCATAGCTTCAGAAATTGTCATTCGCTATCATCGTCGTACTTAGCCCGGAATCCAAGAAAAAAAAATCAATAAGGCCTGAAATAATAAGACGCAGAGAGATGAATGTATGTATGCTGAAGCAAGCTCAATAATCCATATGTTCGTTCGAAACCTTAGTAAAGCTAGTGGATAATTTAACTCAAAGTGATTGATACACCCTTTCTCTATCGTTTATTTAGCAAGCTTAAAAGTACTCAAACAAACTAACAACTTATATATTTACAGTTGATACACATACTATTCTGACTTTAAAGAAATTAAAATTTTTAAATACCAACCAAATTACATATGGAGAAAAATCCACCATTTAAGAAATCAAAAGTGATAAAAAAATATTTCTATATGCCACTCTTTGATACCTTAATAAAGAACACAAACTTATATAAATGATTCTGAATAATATTAGATTAAATAAAAATTCATGAATATATTGCTTTCTACTATCCAAGAAGGTTGATAGAAATTCTATTCCATATTTTGTTCAGTAAGCTCAAGGGTATTTTTGTGTAAATAACAATGAATTTGTCATATTTATGACATGGAATATGTTTTTCATGAATATATTTCTAAAAAACATAATAATTTGTATATTTTATTGAATAAATCTACATTCTGTTTTACTTTCAAATTTGCAAATATTGTTCTTTTTTGTATTTTCATATTAAAAAATGCTGATGTATTCAAAAAAAAACTAACTTATTTCAGATTATGAAGTCAGAATTTTCCAATTTTCATTTTTATATTTTTTTCAAATATTTCTCAAAATAATCTAAATATTTTGGGAAATGATAAAATTACATGTTTTTTTGTTGGAAAACTCTGTATCATAGATCTATGATGAACTGAAATTGAAAAACTGTATGAAATCACCATTTTTATTGTAACATTATTATGCCAAAGTAATAACTTGTAATTATGTTCAAATATTTAGTAGCTTGAATAGCACTAATAAACAATCTTAAAAACGTCATGGGAATATGAACTACTAAAGAAATAAGTACAGCAACAACTAAAATAATCCCAAAAAATCAAAAACTTAGTGACATCAAAGATTCCAAAGAAGCACAAAGTAATGAACTTGAATTTAATTTTAAAAATATATAATATATTTTTTTCGCAAAAATACACTTTTTACAGCATTTGATGGTGTAATAAATTGAACAAAGGATGAAATAACTATGTTTATCGAATCAAGTAAATATTTGATATAAATATAAAATAATTATATATAAAATAATACAATTTTAAATCATATCAAAGTATTTCTTGCAGGTTTTAATATAATGAATCAATTTATTTTAATCAATTATAAATGTGCATTCATGATAATCAACATATGCAAATTTGAGATATAAAATAATCAACAAATTAATACTTAAAAATTTTATAAGGAGATTTGAGTAAAAAAACAATAATTTATTTTATTTTTATATATTATATATGTAATTAATATTTTTGGTAATATATATATCAATTTTATTATATAAATTTTAATTTTTCTATTAAAAAATATTTTTTGATTTAATATAATGATGTAAATCATGTCAAGAAAAAATCGAGCTGATCGCCACTTACATGGACTCATTCCCTCCCTTCGTACTTTTGATCGCTTGCATTATCGGTCCAGAATTGCTAGCGGCACCGGTAATGTAGTGAGGAGTTGCATGTGTGTGCCCCTCGGCACGCTTCTAGGAGAAAATCACCGAATCATATTCTATGTTCATGCTTGAGGACGTCGGATCGGATCTTAAAGTCATTTACGGAAGATTTGTTGCGTTTTTATAAAGTTCCTAGTGAACGACATCTTACAGAACGTTTGGTATGAGCATCCCAGAAAGAGGTAAGGTTGGATGTACACAGCCCTTTGAGTTGTGTAAGAGTGTTGAAGTTATTAGCATCTACATCACCATTAGTGAAGTCATCCATGAACACCAGCGTGCTGACGACTTCCGGTTACTTACTTTCATCTTAGTAAAATTGACAAATTATAAGGGTCACTAAAGGAGTATAGCGGAAAATAAGGTAGTGTACACGTAGGTGTTGACATATTGCATAATATTTTATTATCGCAGTTGAACTATTTTAAATGCAATAGAACATTTCACGGGCTTGCAAATCCTAAGATAAGAATAACCAACCTACTTTGAGTTAACACTAACAAGTAAATCACAATAATTTTTAATTTAAAAACGTGAAAGACAAAATAATCATAAATTATTAATATTATAAATGATTAATTTTAGTATAATAAAGTTATCATTAATTATCATTAATTTTTTTAATATATTATGTTTTTAATATAAAATAAATTTAAAACTTAAATTAATTTTATGCTTCAATTATCTGAA